GTCGAATAACACAGATCTTTAACTTGACGAATTCCTGGCAGCAGACAATGTTAAATTTTCCTTAATTCTGAATTTTTATGCTAATCGTCCTTAAACCTGAACGTAACTCGATAAGTGTAACTAAATATCGAAATCAGAATTTGTTACCACCGAGTACACCTCACCCTCGTTAAACCATCCCCCTAAATTCTCCTCTGGACTCCCTCCAAAGCTATCCATTCGCTCTGGAAAATCCTCAATCTTACACGCGTTCGCTCGAAACCGCTATAAAGTCTCCCTCCAACTTCCAAACACTCCCAGAAGCCTTATTTCTTAAAACAGTCCTGCCCTAACCCTCCACGTGGATACTAGAGCGATCCTTGCCAAGTTTTCGAAATTGTTTTACAATTTCTTCAAAAATTATTTTCCTCGAATGCACCACGACGAGGCGGTAAGATTCACTGGACCGAGAGATCGAGTTAACCTTCCTGCACTTTCGGAAGTCAGCCATGTGCGCTTGCATAACCTCTAATTCGAACGTACATACTTGCAGGACGAAAATCGGCGATTCTCGTTGGCCGAACACAAACCATCGTGATAGTTGTAAAAGTTCGTTAGTGACGGATCAACAGTTCTATTTAAATTTCGTTTATTAACAGTGCCAGATCGAGTGCTGGCGTCGTTATATTGGCACGCCTTCTCGTTGTCAATAGAATGTCACGTACAGCGTCGCGTGCAACAGCGAGCGACACCTTACGGACTTTTAATCCGGTCGGTGTATATCCGTGACGGAGGCGTAAAAATAAACGACTGTCGTGTATTTTTGAAACACGGTAATCCCCCTGGGCACAACAGCTCTCTCGAAATCGTGGAATGAATGATCTCGAGAGAAATTCATCGATGTTTGCTAATTTTATCGATGCAATTCCCCTAACGGCGATTTTGTGCGAGAAAGAATAATAAATACTTGGAAAATGGGGAAAATTATTTTTGCACATTAAAATTCACAGCAGAGTAACTAAAGGTGAACTGTGAGGATCTTCTTTTGACAATTTTTGCTTTAATTCTTTCACGAATAATATTGATTTATTGTTAACCTTTATTACTCAATATACACATGCATTTTGCTCATTAAAAAATGAATACTTTTTATTAATTCCTAGTATTATTTTGTTATTTACTTTATATTATTTAACTAAAGGTTTTACTAATTTACAAGAAATTTATGCCTTTTTATTAATTTATACGAATTTCATTCTCTTCAGTGAATGTAATACCAGCGAAGATTGAACTAATCATACTTATAGCATCATTTATCATCTCTCAAGAACAATGCTTTTATTTCAAAGGAGATGATCTTCTATCTTCAATCTAATATATGATATTTAAAAATCATCGCATTTAGTTTCTATAATCAATTGTTTCGCTAGTTTGATCACATTCTGTACACTGCAACAAAATTACCAAGCGTATTCAACTTCGCTAGACTGATGCTCGTATGGTCAATATTGATTGCTATTCCCGAACATTAAATAATTTTAGTCTCTGTCTCCTGTCCACGTGACAGGCTACACGTCTACCAACTATTGGGAGACTGCTGGCCTTTCCTTGATTCTATTATAAACTTTAATCTATTTCCACGACAAACCGTAAACGAGGCTCTCGATAGGCCTCGTTATTAAATACGCCTCATTACCGCCATTTTACGACGACATTTCCAGTCATTTCCTCGGAAGTCGTCTATTAAGCGGGAACCTGGCGCTGTTCGAGTTGGGGATCCCTCACGAGTGCACTCGTTGCTCGGGGTAAACGATTGCACAGCTATAGTTTCATCGGGAAAGTTATTTGTTCCGGAATAATTGTCGATCGTCTCCTTCGTGATTTTCTGTCCCTTGAGAACAAACTACGATATTTTTCTCCGGTACAGGTCCGGCAATAAATTCAGAGCGATCGTAATTTGTTTCCATCTGCGTGTTTCGTTTGAGGATGATAACACGTGTATTTAATTCCCAACTGCGAAACAAATTTTATACGTACTCAGTTTACGATATATGCCGCCGACGTTGCTATTTATTTCTTATCATTTATTTCGCATCTATTCCCTTTAATCGAACCGAGTGAAAGCGTACACGCGAAAAATAACACCAAACCGTTTTGTTGGTATAACCTTGCACCGAATCGGTATTGTTTGCTACATATCTGTGCAGTATTTCGAGTTTGGAAAATTGTTTTTATCTATGTACCCTTGTTTATAAATATCGCTCTATTCAACGATATAAATCCACAGTTATCAAAACACGATACAGTATTTAATTACGTAGAATAACAAACTAGAGCAAATGCTTAAATATAATCCATATGTCTAGACTCAGAGGGGCTCTAATATAAACACAGTGGACCGAAGCTCGAGACGTTGCCGTTTTTCAAGCTAAAGCTTTCCAAACCCTAGAGCTTTTAACCCGCATTGCCTCTTCCAGACAGCAAACTTGTCAGAAGAAATAATCTCCCAATTACCCAAGCAAGGGTTGCAAAAACCGACACGAAGGAAAGTAAAATAGACTCAGTCTCGTAGCAATGAACCCTAACTGTACCCTTCCCTACGTGTAGCTTGATTCCAAAGTAAATCCGAAACAACGAAACTACTCGTGATGTCAGTTGGATCACAATTCATGATGCTAACTAACAAAATCAACGATATCCTTGAGATGATAGCTTAATGCCACCCAAAAGCCTCCAAAGGATACTGGACCAGTTAGCCAAAAACGATTGCCTTGCTCTCATCGCCAGGGGTACTCGAGGAGTTTCGATGTTTCTAGAAAGTATTCAGTCAGACCTTTGCTCTCTACATATAGAAGTTACCGACCTGACACTGATATCCCCACGTTTGTGGCACGGACCTGCTAGGTAGCCTTAGCGAAGAGTCCGCTAACAGGCCCAGGACGAAACGCGTTCCTTCCTTTTCTGCTCTCCTTGTCTTTTCCTTCGACAGTTTCAAGGTGTTCCTTATCTACGTCGTCACCTTGACTCCAGCAACGAGGATGCAACGTTTACCAGGTAGCGCGCGGTGTAGGACATGTGGCTGGAGACGCAGAAACGCGTGCACATACATATTGAGCGTTGTCCCAGGCAACCCGGGGGAAAAAGTGGCGGATGCAACGCGACGGCATACAATGAACCCAAATCGATCGTTGCTACACCAGTTGCGCCGATGCACGCTATCCGACGCCTTTGTACTTGTGCAGCTACGCACACAAGCGTACACACATACATATGGAGGCACGAATCCGGGCGCCACGGCGGGATCATTCGATCGATGGAAACCGGCGGCAGAGGACGGCGAACACCGACGAGGGTTGGAGAAGGAGGCCGCTGGCTTATGGGAGGCCGTGGAACAGGGAAAGTCTAGGGATGAGGGTGGTGGTTTCGAAAATCAGGTGGAACGCCGGCGCGCCTCCCTCTCCCGTTCTCGTGGGAAACAGCGAGCACACGGCCAACCAAGCTGTCAGGCTGACAGGCAGACAGGCTGAAAGAAACGCGACGTGACCTTGGATGAACCACGATCGAAACGAGTCCTTGAGATACTCGCATCCGTGTCGAATCCACGTGTCCGCTAGGGGTAAGATCAAGGATTTCCATTGCGATAGAGGCCACTCCTCTGCTGACCCAGCAAGACCCGCTCGATCGTCGGTTCGCGTGCAACAAGTCTCGCGGTAGGGCTGAACGGGGGAGCGCGCGACCTCACGCCATGTGACGTCTGTACAGCAGGGCGGAAATTCAATGAGATAGCGGGGATAATGAGGATGGAATGCCTGGATCGACGGAGTATGCCAAGGGACTTTAGAGGAGGAGGAAAGAAGGGATGGAAGAAAGGAAATCGACGAGGGCAAGTCTCGCGAGAAATGTCGCGATTAATAAATCCATCCGTCTCTTTACCCTTGGGCTGCTATTTACGCGGTCCTCGGCTGAAAGCTTCACGACCATTATAAATTCTTCGCGGTTATCCCGTTTACGAGACGAGCAAGAAACTCGAGGCTGTTGTCAGGCCTCTATTAGCCACAGCGACGATTAAGTGGCACATAGCCACGCACTCCCATTACCCGGTTCGTTACATAAAACATGATTTCTTATCCCGCAACGCGTGCTCTAGGCGGGACAGGTAGTCCCTGCAACGAACGTCGACGTAGGGCTCGAAGGGATTGCATGGGGTACTGGCCTCTTGTATAAAACGCTGGAATTAGAGGGCGCGCGCGGTCCATGCACCCGCGAGGCTATGTATAGCCGCGGCAGCTTTCAAGGACGTGCACGTGCTGGGAACGCGACGAGCCCGATAACCCTGCTTGCGCAGCTAGCGCGAATTGTTTACAATCAGGATTACGCAGGTGAAGTATCCGTCAATCCGCAACGTGTAATCCTCTCATATGTTAATCGCGTTTACGCGGCACTCGAGTAAGAGGACTCTGAAGATGGCAGAGAGCGCATGGGGGTGTAGAAGAAAGGACGTGGTAGGATGAAAAAGGTAGGAAAACGGCTAGGCAAAGGGATGCATTATTGGACACGAGTAGCTGTTCCAGCCGAGACCTTCACCGAGACCCAGCTGGTCGACATTGCCCCTGTGTGCTGGCAACCGCCGCACCCCGCCCTGCCATGAGAGCGTGGTGGCGGCAGAAGCGGCAAAAGTGGCTGACAGGAACCCCCTACCGTGACGATCGGACGCGTCGAGGCTCGGTAGCCTAGTCCAGTACACTACCGCCACCTCTTCCCTTTCGCCGCTACCCCGTTTCTTGCCTGAGTGTTCACCCTGGCCTAGGAATTGCCTTGCTTCCCCGTCCCAGTGATGCGTTGCTGGCCAAGTAACGGGGATACGGAGGGGCAGGAAGAACAGGGGGATAGGACATACGCGCGTGAGGGTCAAGGAGGGAAAAGGAGCAGGATAGAGGGCTATAGGGAGGCTAGGCGGACGCAGGCGCGGACGCAGACGCAATAAGTCGACGAAACGGCGCCGAGCATTCCGACAACGGCAGACAACGCGGCACGATCAAGCCGAGGTAATCGCTGTGGAACAACCTCACTTCGTCGCATTCGCTTACAGCGTGTACCACGTCGACTCTACGCACCGTCACACTAGTTAAGAGCAACTCCACCGGATATGGGTGTCGTGAAGACCGCCTCTGAGAGCATCCTCGAGGACGCTGTGGTCCCCAGCGAGGAAGCTAATTACTCTGTTCAGGGCCACACCGGTAAGTCTATACACTTTTTCCTTTTTCTTTTCTCTTCCCTTTCACTCGGACCAATGTTCTCTTGGTCCACGTTCGTTGTCACGAGTGTGGTAGACCGGTTGGTGAAGTGTGAACTCCAAAGAGGACCGCGTGACCGGCGCGGGTACGATAAACCGTAACGGGAGATTGCGATTCGGTCGGAACGACGAGGAAGCGGTTCTTCGTGCTTAATCGTGGCGAGAATTTAAAGCCGATGTGGCGAGCCGCCCACACGAGCTGCTAACAGGTGTTCGAAGATACAGATATACTGCCCGCGCTTCGCCTATATACGTTACCCAGCAGTGTACGAGGCGTCGGGCCGACTTTGCTCCTGCGAAATTATTCACCATTTCTCTCTCTATCCTTTCGAGACCCCTGGCGTCTCTTCTGGTCCCGTGCTAAATCCAGACTTAGGGTCGATTAGCGATTTGCGCTTTTGTGTTAAACCGACCAATCCTTGCCTTCGTTTGATACCGAGAACGTTCCAATTGCGGTTTCATCCTTTGACAGGAGGCTGATTATTCTTTCCCCTACGTGATCTCCGATCGATGCCCCTGATTTAACAGACGCTTCAAGGCGACTGCTCGAGGAACCTACGCGTCTCGGGAACGTTTACCTGTTGAGGCCAGAATAGTATACAGCTACATATCTATTCCGGATCCTTCGAACACGTAATTGAATTTGCTTATACTCGGTATTTGAAACTGGGAAATGGAAGATTTCATTAAAGATCTATATCGAAGTCCGTGAGGTCTAATTGAGGAGCAAGTGTATAGGTGTTTCGCTTCTTGATCCTTCTGCGCGTTCTGATTTCAATATCATGTGGTATGTTTCAATGAAGACTCGAAGCTTGGCATTTGGCATGACGTGTTTGTCAGGTATTCCTAGGCGTGTACGAACTTCGAACGTACCGGTTTGCGTTGAATTTTTTTTTTTGTTATGTAAGTGTGGACCACCTGTCCCACATTTAGGTAAGTTTGGACGCATCGATCCGTGTAACACGATTTATTATTGTATTTTCAATCGATTTATTATTGCATTATTTACGCAACTGATATAGGCGTTCATGTTCATTCTGAACTTGACACGCATCAAATCCTATTTATATTTACGCGGAGATCGATAGCAGCCCGCTGTAAAGTTTAAAAGAAATGGTTTCCCGTAACTACCGGATAAAAAGTTAGAGAGAAGGAGGATAAGTAGAAGGAACAGGATGGAAATTGCTAAAATAAAGAAATTGATAGAAAATTTATTATATCGCGTTGTGGGATATTTATGGATATTTGACAGAACTTTCACGAGTACTACACGTATGCGTATATACGTTATCACTCAGAAGTATTTATTTTTGGTAGAATATAATTTTATTATAATACTGTAAATAATATTAACCGGGTATCATGATCTGGATAAAAGCAATTTTTCAAGGCTAATGTGCAAGAATTAGGTAATCCACCAGGTGATGTAAAATATTATAGAAGGATCCTGTCAATTGAAAAATTTTATACCTTCGGATTACTTTCAGTTTTTAATTTATGTTCAGAGTGCGAAAGGCTTTTCTAAACAATTATAGAGATCATCGAGATCTATTGAAGTGATAACATTTGAAAGCGTCTGACACACATTTTGAATTTCATACCAGTATTCTGCCAATCTTTTAATACTAATGTACTATTATATATCCTATTACTTTCTTAATTTTAATATACTTGTATTATTTGTTATTAATCTCATAATGTCAATATACGGATACACTAATTTACAGATTAGTTTTTTAATTTTTATATAGTAGAATACTATTTCTTTCCTAATTATTTTAGTTATTTAGTAACTCTTCAATTATTTCAATATATTACTAGGACAATGCTAATATACGACACAAATATGCCACAGTAATTTATAAATAAACAACAAACAAGGACATAATAAGAATTTCTTCTAGTCGTTAGTTGCCCACTAATTTAAACTGAGTTCTGGTAACACTCGTGTACTACCATGATCACGACTCGACCAAAGTGTCTCGACACTCGTGACCAGCTGCGCACTTAGGTTACAACCCAGTTGTAAAGACAGAAAGTGCGCGTAAAGGCGTATTTGTATCGATGTGTCCTGGCAATGTAAAGCAATTCCCCGTTTGTTTTCGAAGGAAACAGGAAAAAGCGAAGCCACAAGATACTACGAGTGCTCACAACGAAAGGAGCAAACCTACGTCATATTAAAGACGCGGAACAATGTGCATCGTCCTTGGCCCCGTAAGTCCGCCTGCGGCTCGATAGAGGGCTCATAGTCTTCCGGATATGGCAAATTTTAAGCTCGCGACCGCGTCATAGGGAAATATTAACGCGTCATCTGACTGGCAGTCAACGCATTGCACTGTCAAAGCTTTGTAATTCGCTTAAAAATTTGTCTCCATGGATACACAAAGCGTTAAAAATATTTTCCCTCTCTTTTCTCCTCCTTTCTCTCTTTTTCCTTTGTCATTTATTTCCCGTTTGTCTTCTATTTGTTCGTTTATTTTCTCTGTTATTTTCTAACTTTTTAACGTAACGCGATGTAACGTCAAAAGTAAATTGACAAGCGACCAGAGCAGGGGTTTAATAGTCATGCACACTTCCACGACTCACGTACATACTTCCTCCTCGCTGAACTACATTCCCGCGAATTAAATGTTGTTCTCCGATACACGTAAAAGTCAATTGAATAGATCGATTGAATTTCATAAACCCCCTACGCTTCACGTTTTGTTAATTTTTCATCCGTGGAACAATGGCTGCCCGACCTTTTGTACCCTTGCGGTTGTGGCGACATAACGCCTTTATGAGAAAAATTCTACGATAATTGCTTTCCTGATAGGACGTCTGATGAATACATATTATCGAAATAGTTCGTTGATAAAAAGCATAGCTTACTATAATTGGGCTACTTTGGAAGTCTTCGTTTTCCGATAGAACCGTGAATCGGTCAAGGTCTGAACATTCGACTTCCAAACTTGCGTGTCCTGCATTCGTTCGATATACCGGATGTCCTTAGGCTAGGCGTATAACTTGGGCTATGGTAAATCTGTCTAAAAATAAATAAAAGATGTGGAATGAAATGTCCTTCATTGGGCTTCTAGTACCGAGTGAATTTTCGCCCGTGGACCTTAACTCTGCGGTTGTAAAGAGAAACATATGTCACATACTTGCATTTTCAATTAAATTTCTAATTAAACTTCTGATTATCAATTCTTATTATTGTCTGTCGATTACGTTGTATAAATTTTTGAATATATAAAATTCATTTTTATTAAATCCCTTCTGGTACTATATTCTCCAGCTCGGTTAATAAAAAACAAAAATTTTATGAAATTCTGACAAATAGGAATATAATGATTCCTTTATTAACATTTCTTAACTTCTTAACTTATGGTTATTATTCTGACAAAGACGCATCTACTGCTAAAGGATAATTATATTAAATAAATATTTTCGGGAGAGGAAGATAAAGAAAGTGTCTTCAAAAATTTTATTCCATACTTCCGATTTGTTTTTTCATAGGAAATCAGTAGCGCCGATTATAATCGTATATAATATATTATGTATATCAAATATAATTTTTGATATTTGAGATCACATTTATCCAAGTAAGCTGATTCGATTACTCGATATCTGGTAGTTCGCCTCTCGTTCTAATGGAGACGCGGGAGTTTCGCATATGGCCGCACTTCCGGCTACGTGTATGCAACAGGCGAAGCCTGACTCAGGCGTTGGATTTTACTTCGAACGCTGAACACGACTCGATTATCGAACGGAACGAGCTCTGTTGGGTTGCAACGTGTGCAACGGCTCTGTAGAAAATAGCGTAATAACGTTTGAGCAGTATTTATGTACTTGTTTAAGATTGCTAGTCGTCGACGTTTATTGGTAGAGTAGATTTTGCTTCTCTCACAACGCAGAAGCGTAGCTACCGTGTTTGGATATTAGCTCACGTGACAATTTTATTCGATTACTCTGTCCAGGAAAATAGTTTACATTATAAACAATAAAAACTTTTAAAATATAAAAATGTTCAGAATTATATTTTTATTTGCTTTACGGTAAATTACGCGTGGTACCAATTAACCTAACAAAATGAACGCTTCGCGTGAATCGTTTCCACTATTATATTGGTCACGTGCAGCATCAGGTACAAGCAATTTACTCTGCTTCGTCCTCTTTTAAGTCTTTCGCTTTAAGGAATGGACAGTTTATCTTTGAAATAATCCTGTCGGATTAAACGTCTCGTAAACCGTTTATTTTTCTCTGGTACACCGTATCTTGAAAGATCAGGAAAGGGTTGTTCAGCTTTAGAAGAAATATCTTGATTACATCTTACTGGAAAATCGTCCTCTTTATAAAGAATGGAAGATTGGAGACATTGAATCTTTCATAGTTTTAAGTATCTTATTGTTAGATACAGTCACGTGACTCAACCGCGACGCACTACCACCCACGGCTTCACCTGTCGTTTAAACAATCTTCTAAAAGCGGTATCTGTTGCTCCTCGAGAAGACTTAGTAAAGGAAATCATGGTTTTACAAACTGATTTTTAAAAAATGAATAATTCCTCAAAGAAATCTTGTATTTTATAATTTATTAACTGAAGGTATCATATGTTTGGGTCTTTGTCATGCTGGATGAATCCAGTAGACTAATGGATAAATTAAGAGTAGGTTAAAAGGAATTGACAAAAGTATATTATTTAAGTACATTGCCGATATGCAAGTTTGACACTTAGTATTAATATCGCAAAAAGTTTTTTAACAACGTAACGTCGTGTTATAGTGTTTATTTAATAGTTTAATGCTTTATTTAATAACCCCATAATGGCTAAAGGAATTAAATATTGTAAACTTCGAAGTAAATGTTAACTTATATTTTTCATTATAAATCACATACAATTCTAGTGAACGCATATACTCGACTAATTTTAATAGCTATTCATAAAACATTATAAATTATACT